CAGCCCAATAATCCCAGTTTAGGATTTATTCAGCCTCTGGGCCAGTTTCTGGCCCTACTGCTGCTTCTGCAGTAGGTTTTCCTTTTCTCCCAGGAAAACCTTTGGCCTTTGCTGTGAACAGCAAAGAATCCATCCCTTAATGTCCTTGGGAACGGCTCATCTTGGTGCACAGACTGTCCTCCTTGGTGCTTTCTGTCCTCCTCTTGGCCAGTATGTCCCTTGATCCCTAAAGCCCAGCCTGTTTCCCTAAGCTGTGCTGTGGAGAGAGGAAGGGAACCGTCTACTGAGTTTAACAGGAAGCGATGTTGGGGTGTGATGGTTGTGCTGGATAATGAACTCTGGTTGTTCAGGGAAGGGGGTTGGTCAGTTCTGCAGATGTGATCTGAATTTCAGAGCTGCCTTTCGTGCCTGCTGACTGTGCGAGTGTGCTGCCTCTCCCTGATGAATTAATCTTGATCTGTGGTGTCATAAAATACGCTCTTCTGATTTTATTATATTCATCTAAGGTTGTATTTCTTCTTAACTTTATATTTCTCGTTAACGTGAGATGAAAGCGGAAATATCTGCTCTGTGTTTTCAAGATGCAGACGGTCCCTGTACAGCTCAGTTTGGGTGTGTGGTTTGCCTCATCTTCTCACAAAAACATGTTGAAAGGGCAGGAATAGTGAATGAGTTATAATAAGCAAACTACTCCCTGCTGTGAGAGTAAATTAAAAACTTGTAGTATCTTTGTCTAAATTGCAAACTAACCAGCGAATCTTGTACTTGGGAGACTTGAATTAAGGGCTTTATTCCTCCTGTTATTTAAAATCTGATGATGATTCTGATTTCTCTGCTTTTTCATGTCTGTGAGGGACCAATAAGGCTACCGAGTCACAGACTGAGAAGTAGCTGTAATGATTTAAATGACCTAAACCTAAGGAGAGAGTACTGAAGTGTTCAAAAGAGAACCCAAACCTTTCCAGCTGATGAGCTCTGAGGAAATATTAGCTGATCGTTCCATTGTGGCTCATTTATTTAAATCAGATCCTGGTGTCTTCTGTAGTGTGGCCAGCACTTGTCAGCAGCCATTTAGTGTGATATATTGGTGGCAAACTTCTTGTCAGGATGTTGGTTGATAGCAGCAGTAAAAACTGTTGAACGCAGCAAAGAGATTTAAAAATGCTCAAGTGTTTTTTAAAATGCTTGTCAGGTACCTTTCTGTGGCTGTGTCACACCTAATGGGCTGTAAAGATGTCACTATAAATCAGTGCTGAAAATGGGACTGGGTACTAAATGCAGGGGTATAAGGAAGGGCAGAGAGAAGAGATCCTTGGAAGGCATTTTGGAAAACTGCTGTGAGGCCAGGAGGCCTTCGGTTCATCCCCAGCGATGCCACGGTTGGCTTAGTCCTGCCCAGCAGCGACAATCCAAGTGTTACATGGACAGTTTTTCTCCCAGCTTCTCTGCCCCAGGAGGCCCACTCCCAACAGGAGGAGATGAAAAGAAGCCTGGACTTCTTTTTGAGAAGGAAATTTTAGGAGGCTCTGTGCCAGCTAAATCCCTGGCTCAGCTGAGGGTTCACGGGGCAGCCTGCCTTGGATCAGAACCAGCCAAAACCGAGTCCTCATGCCTAAATATGTACTGCTTCCTGTAGTTTTTCCCTGCCTTGCTCTTTCTGCTGCACATTTCCTCCCTGTTGTTCATTTTCCAGGGACAAGAATTAGTTCCTTCAGCCAGGCAGACTTGGCCTCTGGCAGCATCCAGTACGTCCACACCAGTGAGGAGGAAAAGCACACGGATGCCTTCACCTTTTCTGTGTCTGATGGGACAAACGAGGTCAGTCCCAGCCTGACTTTTGCCTGAGTGGGCAGATGTGGCTGTTCCTCGTTCTCCTGCTGTGGGATTTCCCACATCACTCAGGTCAGGGAGGGAGGAAGGCCTGTGCAGGGAACAGGGAGCCACCTGCCCTGTGGGCTCACCAAGAGCTGAGTGCCTGGTTTTCAGCTGCTTGCCAACTGTTCCTGGAGCTCAACTTTGATCCAGTGCACTGACAGCGTAGTGACGACAGCCAGCCCCTGGAGAAATGCCTTTTTCCTGCTTTCTGAAAGAGAAGAAGTCTAGCTGCACATAGAGGGAGAGGGGCAAAACTGAGTGAGAGAGGGAGGGAAAGTGGATGTCCGTAAATATCACAGAAAGAGGGAGAATTAATGAGTGGGGAGGGATAAAGAAGTGATCTGGGCTTAGCAGCTCAGACAAGGCTGAAATGAAGAGACCCAAACTGGGGATCGCTGTGCTCTTGCGGTGAAGTCACACTCTTGGAAGTCTGAATTCGGCAAGGGAAGCTTTTCTGCCTGTCCCAGGTGAGCCAGACATTTGACATCACCATAAACCCCGTGGATGACTCCTTGCCCATTGTGCAAATCTTTGGGATGACAGTTCAGGAAGGGGTGAGAAAAACCATCACGGAGTTTGAGCTCAAAGCGACAGATGCTGACACAGAGGTAAGGCAGGACCACCCCCAGCCTCCTTGCTCCCCTCTTGTGCTGCACATCTGGGCTTGTGTTTAAAGACTTAACGCTGAATTTATGCTCAGCATGGATGGAAATGGCACTTCCTCTTCTTCCTGGGTCTGGCCAGAGGCTGAGCTGTCTAACACTGGCTCTATCTCACTGCTGTTTCCCCTGCAGCAAGAGATCTGGCTGCCTGAGCCAAAATCCTGCCCCAAAGGTTTTTGCCCTGACAGAAGTGGCAAGGGACACACTGCCCGGAATGGCTGCAGGACTGGGGGCTGCTCTTGTGTTCGTGGAGCAGGCACAGGGGTGGGTGGGAGCTGTCTCAGACCAGCTGAAGCAGGAATTCGGTGGGATGTGCCTTGTTTTATAGGGAGACACCTACAAAACAAAATCCCTTGGGAGAGGGACAAGGACAGGGCGGGGCTCAGGGGGAACCAGGAATGTTCTGTGCTAACCCTTGTGTTGGGAACACCAACGCAGGGGAGCTTCCCGGCCAGAATCCCTGTCCGGGCCTCCTGAGCTGGAAGGGCAGTGTCCTGAGGTCGTGTCCCCAGCTTTGCCCCTCCATGTCCGGGCACAGGTGGAGTCCCTGACGTTCGGGGCGGTGCAGCCGCCCCGGCACGGGCTGATGGAGCGCAGCGGCTGCGGGCAGCGTCCTCTGCAGGCCACCACCTTCACCAGGGATGACATCACATCTACCAGAAGCGCGGCAGCTGCAGGCACCGCGGCGGCAGCGCGCTCAGGGACCGCTTCACCCTCACCGTCTCCGACGGCACCAGCCCCCTCTTCGTGGTGCAGGAGGGAGGGAAGAAGGTCAGGGAGGAGAAGGGATGGGAGGGGGCCTTGGGAGCTCACAGGGAGCTGCCTCCTCTCGGGGCAGGGGGGACTGAGATGCTGACTGAACGTTCTCAGTCACGTCTTTGCTTCTTCCCCTCCCTGCAAACTCTGCCCTTGCTGCCAGCAGAGCCGAAGGGAGCCGAGCTGGTGACGTGGTGGCTGAGGCTCTGACTCGCACAGTAACCCCCGTGTCTCTGAACTGGTGTCAGGTGTGGCCCACATCATGTTTAAGGTGGAGATCATGTCCAACGAAGACTGGGAGTGGCACGAGTCCTTTTCTCTGGTGCTGGGCCCAGATGATCCTGTGGAAGCAGGACCTAGGGACCTGCTGATTCAAGGCTGAAGTGAACCTTTAAGAAATGAGGAACAGGTTGAGTATGGAATTATCAGAGCACAGCACAACTCGCAGCCTGTTGGGGAGGGTGAAACAGAGAAACCTTATGAATGTTATTGTTTGGCAGAACATTCTGAAAAAAGAAGGCTAGAATCGAAGTAGAAATGAAAGCCTGCTTTGAGTCATAAGATACAGAGTACTGGTTACTATATGACCAGAGAACAATAGCCTAGCCAGCTAAAGGAAAATCCCTGCTGATAAAACAATGCCCTTCTGCTGACAGAAAGCCCAAAGGCCAAGAAGCAAGGAAAGAACTTGTAAAGCCTGTAGAGCCTCAAATGCAACACTGTATGTAAAGTCTTTAGTGGGTGTATCTCATAGTGATTGGATACTGGGAATTAGAATATTCACTGTAGAAAAAGATACATTGGATTGTGACAAGAACTTTGCTCTCTTAGCTTTTCACTCTTGAACCTCTCTCTCTTAACCTCTCTCATACCTCTTGGCTCTTCTCTCTTACCCCTTTACTCCTCTCTCAGCTCCCCTCTCCCCCTCTCTTACCTCTTCCACTCTTTCCCTCTCTTACTCTTACCCTCTTGGTTTTTCCCCTCTTACCCCTCTCTTGTCTCCCCCCTCTCCTA